GGGGGGGGGCGTTTTGATACGATGACCAGGCCGGGGTCCCCGATAAGGAAGACGCCTGGCTTAGTGTCGGACGACGAGGTCGCGCCGATACTGCGGCGGCTGCTGGTGTTGTTCCCCTTTGACTGGCTGTCGCGTCTGTCGGTATGACAAATCGAGCGTCCGGGAGGAAGGGGCCCAGAGGAAGATTAACGTGGAAATGACGCCGTACGGCACGCTGCACCACGCCGTCGCCGCCCGTTCACAAGTCTCTCTCTCTCTCTATCTCTCTCTCCCGGGTGGGTTCAATACATCGATACCTCTCCACCGCCCCCCCCCCTCTCCCGTACTCTGGCCGGAGGAGACCAAACTTTCCTCGGAGGGCTATGAATCATGTTGTGTGTTGTGGGTGGAGGGGCAGGGGTCGGCGGGGGAGGTATCAGCAGCACGGGGGACCCGGTGTCCCGGCGCCCTGGGTATGTTTTCTGCGGCATCAGAGCTTTTCGGACCCCGTGTCCTCCTTGTGGGGCCGCTGCCCCCCCTCTTCACCCACACCACACCCTCCCATCATCACCGAGGAGTAGAAGGGTGCCGTCGTCAAGCACGCTGCTGAGGCCCCCCCAGGCGCCGCCGGCCCTGCAGCAGCACCGCAACGGTAGCAGAGGAACAAGAAGACGCCCGCCTACACACGCCCAAAACCAAAACACGCGAGTATATATGTAGTGCAGCATGCCTGTAGATAGGCGTACTGTCGCGGGTGGCCTACCCGATAGGCGGTAGGTTGCCTACCCTGCGGGCGGATGGTTGCCTACCCTGCAGGCGGTTGGTTGCCTACCCTGCCGGCGGTTGGTCGCCTACCCCGTAGGCGGTAGGTCGCCTACCCCGTAGGCGGTAGGTTGCCTACCCCGAAGGCGGTAGGTTGCATACCCTGCAGGCGGTTGGTTGCATACCCTGCAGGCGGTTGGTTGCCTACTCCGTAGGCGGTTGGTTGCCTACACTGCAGGCGGTTGGTTGCCTACCCTGCAGGCGGTTGGTTGCCTACCCCGTAGGCGGCTGGTTGTGTAACCTGGTAGGCGTCTCCTGCACAAGGGGAGGTACATATCCGCGTCCAGGACGAGGTGACAGCGCGCGCGTTTTTGACAGTGAGGTGGGGTAGGGGGAGGCTGCGAGGTCACGAGACGGTAAACTCGTTATCGCCCGATCAATCGCGATAGCTCGCTAGCTGCCGCCGCCACCGCTCCCGACCCCAATTAACTTTGAATCTGTTTTTACGGCTTGATTAGGGCAGCGGGGTGGCAGTGGCGCCCGCGGCCGAGGGGCATACGTTACGGTTTTACCCCCCGCGGGGTGGCACCCCGAAGGGGAAAGGGGGGGGGGGTCAGGTCACGACCCCGCACTGCGCACCGCATTAAACATACAGTGCTTCAAGTGTGTGTGTGTGTGGGGGGGGGGGAGGAAGGGCGTTAGCGGGCTTAATCCTCAAGCAAGGTTGTTATTAAAGTGCGCGTTCAATGCTTGCCGCCACGCGCGCTGCCATACAGCAGTATTGCTGGGTGCTTGTTTCGCTATACCGAATTTAAACGCGTGACATTCATCGACGTGAACGCATTTTGTTGTTTTGATTGCGTTCAGTCATTTGGATGTGTGTGTGTGTGTGTGTGTGTGTGTGTGT